GTACCATGACTCTGTGCTTGTTTTTCTTAATTATTTGTAACTAGGTTACGCTTTAAGGTACAAACTGTGACTTACAAACAGTAATAGTTTTTGTTTGTTTGTTTTTTGTTTTCTTTCCTGCCTTGCCAATTCCCACACTTCGTATTTCTTTTCTTTTCACTGTCTCTTGCTCACGTCCAGCACAATGTGGAGCAGACGCAGGGGTAGTGATCACCTGGGTAAAGCCTCTACCAGTTGACCACTAAAAATAATGTTTGCTGTAGCCTTTTTATAGATTTTTTTTCAAATTATATAAAATCTTTTCTATTACTACTGTGCAAAGCATTTTTATTTTTGTGTAAGCCTTGAATGAAGGTTCGATTTTATCAATTATTTTCCTTAACAACACATAACTGATCATCTGACTTTTCTTCTTTCATCTGTTTTAGACTGAACAACATCCTCGTCAGGTTTGGTATCAGTTTTGTTGATTTCATTTAAGGAGTTGGTGAGTATCAGTACGTACTTTTTTTAATTTTCTGGGCAATTTATTAAAGGTTTGAAATTATTTATTTCTTTCATATTTCTTAAGTCACTGGTAAAACCACCTAGGACTTGAAATTTCTATGTAAAAGTATGTTTTTAGTACTAATTAAATTTAGTTGCTGGGTAGTTCAGATTCCCTATTTCTTCTTGTGTCTACCTTTATAATTTATGTTTTAAAGCAAAGTTTCCATTTCATATAAAGTTTCTAATCTAGTGACATAAAGTTATTCTTAATATCTTTCTATTATTTTTATATGTTCTGCCTCTTTATTACCATTTGTTCTTTTTCATTCCTGATGTTAACTTTTAATCTATTCAAAAATATGCCAGTTTTATTAGTGTTTTGAATAACAAATTTTGACTTATTGATTCTTTTAATTTTATGTATATTTTTTATTTCATTAACTTCTACTCTTTATTATTTTCTCTCTTCTACTTTCCTAGTGTTCACTTTGCTTTACTTTTTTTGAAATTATGAGAAGTGGGCTTAATAAAATGTTGCACCTTTTATTTTTTCCAAATACACATTTAAGAGGAATCATTTTCTCTAGAAATTATTTTAGCTACTTTTCACAAGTTTTAATCAGTAAATCAGGATGCCACTTCCATTAATAGACCTCAGTACTTTTTCTGAGCCTATTAGTCACCAACAGCTCCCATGATTCTGTTCTTTCCTTGAAATTCCTTCTCCAAGAGGAGAAAGCCTAGCAGGGATATCCAATCTTTTGACATATTTGGGCCACACTGGAAGAAGAAGATTTGTCTTGGGCCACACATTAAATACATTACTATCTGTAATCACAAAAAAATCTCATAATGTTTTAAGTAAATTTACGATTTTGTGTCAGGCCACATCCCTAGCCATCCTGAGCCGCATGCTCGGAATAAGAGCTTTTTCTTGTCTGGGAAGCTCCTTATTTCTCCTTCAATTTTAAACACTACATTTTTAGTAAAGTAGCCTTGGCTATACATTCCTGTTCTTCATCACCTTAAATATTTCACACCACTCCCTTCTGGCCTGAAATGTTTCTGTTGAGTAATCAGATGACAGTCTAATTGGTGCTCCCTTCTGCTTACGTCCTGTGGATTTTAGGATTCTCTTCTTGTCTTTAAACCTTGTCATTTTAATTACAATGTGTCTTGGTGCAGGCATCTGTGGGTCCAATTTGTTTTGGACTCTGAGTTTCCTGGACTTGTGTGTCTTTCTTTCACCAGATTAGGGAAGTTTTCAGCCATTATTTAATCAATAGGCTCTCAATCCCTTGCTCACTCTCTTCTCCTGATATTCCCATGATGTAGATGTTGGTATGCTTCATGTTGTCCAAAATGTTTCTTAAGCTCTCATTTTTTAAAATTCTTTTTTCTTTTTGTTGTTCTGCCTGTGTGTTCTTCCCTACCTTGTCTTCCAAATCACTGATTCGATCCTCTGCTTCATCTAACCTACTGTTTATTCCTTCCAGTGTATTATTTATTTCAGATGTTTCATTCTTTATTTCTGACTGGTCCTTTTATATCGTTTCTTTTTTTTTTTTAATGCCATTAAGTATCCTTATAATCATTATTCTAAACTCCATCTGTAAATTGCTTGCCTCCATTTCATCTAGTTCTTCTGGAGAATTCTTTTGTTCTTTCATTTGGGGTCTGTTTCCTTCTCTTCCCATTTTAGCTGCTTCTTTGTATTTTCCACCTTAGTTGTTAAACTAATCAGTTGTTGAGCTGATCAGCTTGTTAAATTAATCAATCTATAATCAGCTGCTGGGCTTAATCTCCGCAGGGTGGGGAAGATAATTCTTTTGGGCGGCACTATAACCTACCCTCAGGCTGATGCCACTTGGAGAGAAGTGGTCTGCCTTAGGAAGATGGCTTCTGCAGTATGGGGAATGATTCAGCACAGGGATCCTGGCAGCTGTTTTTTCAGTTCTCTTTCTAGAGCCACTAACTCCAGACTTTCCTCAAGGGTCTCTAGTCCACTCTCTCTCTGCTGGAGCCCAGGATAAGTATCCTCAAACATAATTTTGTGCATTGGCTCTTTAAGAGTTTGTCTGCATCTCCAGCCATCTCTCCCTGGCAGACAGAAACCCTGCTGCTGTTCACAGATGGGTGTTATCTGGGTTCCTTTCTGGCTCTGGTGCTGTAAGCTGGGGAGACCATCATCGAGTTTAGACAAGGGAACCCTCCAGTCACTGAAATATCCCTTCAAAACTGCAGTTGCCACCCGTGGGAGCCCAGCCAGCCCTCTCATGCCTCCTCCACACTCCCTTCCAGTCTTGTTGTGGTAAACTGGTTTCTTCTGTCTGTCCTTGATTATAAGACTTCTCTCCAACTGGTGTTCAGTTGGTTATTCGGGATGATTTCTCTACAATTTAGTTGGAATTCCAGATTGGCCTTGGGAGGCCAATGTTAGTGTAACTTCCCCTTATTCCTCCACCATCTTGGATCTCTCCTAGCACAGTCACTTTGGAATTACCTACCACGGTTAAAGATGCATATACTTCTGGGAACGTACCTAGAGAAATGTGTAAGCATGTGCACTAGCAGGCATAAAGAAGTGTCCTCATGTCATTGATCAAAAGAGCTCCAAATAACAAACAACCTAAATGCCAGCCAAGAGTAGAATAAAGAAATGAGTGTTGTATATTCATTCTATGACATTCTAAAGTACAATAGTGAATCTACTAAAACTATTGTACATAATGTCAAATAAAAATAAAGGCAAAAAATGGCATGCAATATCGTTATATTTATGTGAAGTTCAAAAAATGGGAAACAACTATTATTTTTAGAGTCGCCTTTAGATTCATGGTTAAAACAATATAAAGAAAAACAAGAGAGTGATTATAATGAGTCAAGATTGTCATTACTTCTTGTGGTGAAGCCATGAGATGTAATTTAATAAGGAAATCTGGCTCTTTTGAAGGGTTGGTAATGACGTCTCTCCTGAGTTTGGGTCAGGTACATAACTGCTCAATTTATAATTATTCACCCTGTACAGCTAAAGTTTATGAACTTTTAAAATGTACTGATTATGTTCACCCCCCCAAAAAAAAATGAGCTTTATTTTTTGTATTTCTTAAAAACAAAATTTAGAAAATCTGTCAACAATGCTATTAGGCCAGAGCCCTTTTCAAGAATGTAAAATCTACCCCCCAACATTATTTGTACAGTTTAGGGCACAGCAAGAACAAAATCCCTGTATATTTTGTTAGCTATAATTTAATCAAAATTAATGGAGTAGACATCCCTACAAGATGAAAAAACTAATAGACTTACTCTTTATGTAGTCATCCTCTCAAAGTAAGTTTACATTTTGCAAAAGAGTTCTAATTTAGTCCTGTTTTTTAAACAATCCTTGAAAGTGTTTTTGAAAGACAATATATACTCATACTTTTAGTTGAACTACTACACAAAAGAAATCATATATGATAGTTGAGAATTACATAGATATAAAATTTTAGGCCAGTGATCATCAGCAAAAAGAAAAAATGTGGTTATCAAGTGTCAAAATCATTACTATGTCTTCAAGACCCAATCTCTCTGACCTCAATTGGAGACAGTGTCCCCTTGATTAGTGCTCTCTTTGTTGTTATTTTGCTCTTTGTGTCACCTCCTCGCATTGAAACAGTCTACCTCAAATATACTCATGGCTCACTCTCAAATTCATTCAGGTTTTTGCCCAAAAACTCACTTTGAAATAGCCTCTCTAAACAATTTTCTCTAAAATATACCCATGCATCACTATCATTTGTCCTGTTTGTGTGTGTAATCCCCTCAAGAATTTAGACTCTACAAGGACAAGGACTTTGAGCACCATTACCATATTCTGAGCACATAGAAGACTGCTTGGAACATGATAGATAATTAGGCAACATTTGTTAATACATGAATTAATTTATATGAGTTCACTCAGCTGAACACATTCTTCCCTACTTTTTTAGAGATGAGAAAACTGAAGCTGGGAGAGTTTAAGTAATTCTTTTTAAGCTCATACAAGCTATAGAGAGATAGAAGTGAGTTTAAAACTATCAAAAGAGACCTATTTGATGTGCCCAATCCAAAATACACATTTCAGGCATTCAATGATGGAAAAGCCTAACTCTAACAATTCAAAAAGAGTGGGGAGGAACAATAATCAAGTGTAGTTGACAAAAGAGATTGAAACAACAAAATACAAACAAAATTAATATGGGTTGACCATGAAATATGTTCTTTATTGGAGAAGCAAAAGAATAGATACCAAAGTGCTCACAGGATAATGAACAGCAACCACATTACAGACAGACAGATGGCAAAGCCATATCAGGTGATAATACCTTTGTTCATCTTCTAACAAGCCTTTAATCTGTTAGCTGTCAACTCAGGTGGGAGATTAGGGAAGATGCAGTCTGTAACCATGGCTGAAGGGAGGATGATGGAGTCCTAGGACTAAGAAGAGCCTGGATCTTGTCATTTCATGGTCCTGATTAGTGCCAGTGAGGTTACTTGCTCTTGGGTGGACACTTCTGCTGGCAGGGTGGGCACAGTTGAACAGGAGGGCACTTCTGCTGGCATAGTTGAGGTGGGCACTGCACAGGTTGGCATGAAGGAGGTGGGCATGGCTCAGAGCACTGTGGTGGGAGACAGGGCTCAGGGCACTTTGGTGGGGGGCAAGGCTCAGGGCACTTAGGTGGGGGACAAGGCTCAAGGCACTTTGGTGGCGGGCAAGGCTCAGGGCACTTAGGTGGGCACACAGGAGGTGGCTGACAGGGCTGCTTGCACTGCTGCTGCTGGTAAGACATCTTTTCTGGCTCTCAAGGAATCTGAAATACAAACAAACAGTGTTCATAGCAGAGACAGTCCTGTTGGTAGAACAGTTAGCTGAGCCATCATCTCCTTCAGTCGCCAAAGATACTCTTTGATCCCTAATGGAGTCTTTATGACTTTATATAGCTTCTTCACTATTCCCTTTTAGCAACTCTTACCCTCAGCTCTTCAATCTTTTCTGAATAATCTCTCACTCTATCACTTTTTAAAGATAAAATCCCTATGCAGGTGCTGTGTGAATACAAACATTATCTGGAGAAAGACCCAGTTATTAAAATTCTAGCCAATCCCAAAACAAATCTCCACTCATATCTCCCATAAGGCCCTGGTTGCTGCCCAACCCTGGTACTGCAAAGGCTCAGGCCTATCACTCAAGCATACTGAACTGGGAGAAGGATGCATTTGGGAATAATGTGCAGCAGGTGACAGGAAAGCATCTTGTCTCTCTTACTCTCCTTCAGTCAAAGATTGAAACTCTGACTCCATTCCTCTTATTGTCTTCAAGATCATTTAACAAATACCAGTTAAAATTTACCCCCCGAAACCTCACTATCTTCTTTTCCCTATACATGAGCATTAATTTGTTAATTGGTCACTCCTGCCTGCAGGTTAAATCCTCACATTATCCAAATGGCAAGAAAGACCTCTAATATTTGTACTCACCAGAGGCTGCAAAGAAGATCTACAAATGAGCGTCAAGCCTATGGCATCAGTGTGGTAAAGAGTCCTTTTATAAGGCATCTCCACACAGGGAAACATCCCAGGACTGTGGTGATGTGCTGATTTCCCAACCAAAATACCATCTGCATGCAAACTCAAAACTCACTTACCTCACTCACACCAATATCATGAAACTTCCTTGTCTACAACACCAGGGAAGTGCACAATGATTCACCTGGGACCTGGTCTCACACTCCCCATGCCAGTGTCATGTGGCAATTAGGGAATATGAAAAATTAGTTGACAACTGTGATGCTCTTCCATAGTCAGAAATGATGCTTCTCCTACTCCACAGCTTCCCATGCATCTAGTACATAAAACTTACTAACCTGTCCAAAAGCTGTCCAGCAGCCAGTTTTCTTCCTTTGAGAGCAGAGACTTGGGTATGCTAACCCTGCAGGCTGGCCATATACTAACCCTCACCTATAGTTTTTCTTTACAACTTAACCTCCCCTTTACCATGTCTTATTGGTCTTTGGGCTTTTATTAACAATGACTTGAACAGCCTTATTATCTTGTTTTCCCAGGTGCTGACAGTCCCACACTGGGTATGTTTTCATTAATGGCTCCATTAATGGCCTTGAATAGGACAGCATCATCCCTCAATTTTCTAGGCCATAAGGGTCACAGGCTACACCTGAAACTAATGTAATAATGTATGTCAACTGTAACTGAAAAATTTTTTTAAATGATTTTAAAAAATTTTTAAAGAGTCACAGGCTGGAGCCCTCCCTAAACTACTCATTTACATGTTTACACACTGACCTGGTTTCTGTGGACCTCATGACCATGAGTGACTTGTGGTCTACTTGAAACCCAAACTCATCTTCCTTAATTTTCTTCAAAACTGATTCAGTGTCTGGGCTGCATCCATTTAGAAGCTTTCCACTCAGGCTCCCCAGATATCATGTGTTACTTCCCCCTATATGTTAATTCAGTTGATTCCCTATGAGGCCCTCTGTTCTGAAGTGGCATTTACTGAGATTTTCTTAGTACATTCAAGAAAGGAAGCTAAAAACTATCCTATCGTTCAACTCTTGGGTATTTTTACCTAAATATATAAAATGTGGTTGACACAGAACCCATTGATAGTTTCTTGCTATAATTTGTTGAACCACAGTAACGCTTCAGCTAATACCACTTGCTCTGCCTACTGGAGAAGATTCGATTGCACTGACTATGCAAAAATCAATAGGCACAACTATGGTGTGACATTAAATATTTCCTAACCTCCTTGATTCAGTTTACACAGTTGTAAATTAGAGAGAAGAATGAAACCTGCTTCAGAATTTTTCTGCAAAAACTCAACAAGATGTCAATCACATAGTAGGTTTTCAAGAAATGTAAGCTCTCTGTATATCTTATAAGAAGTTAATTTCCAAAAGAATATAAGGAACTCATACAACTCAATATGAAAAAATAATAATAATCTTAGTTTTAAAATGGACTCAGACATTTCTCAAAAGAAGATATATAATTGCCAACAGGTACATGAAAATTGCTCAACATCACTAATCACCATGGAAATGCAAATCAAAACCACAATGTGATATCACTTCATACCTCTTAGTATGGCTATCATCAAAAAAGACAATAACAAATATTGGTGAAGTTGTGGAAAAAAGGGAATTCTTACACAATGTTGGTGCCTTATACAAAGTAAAATGATGCAGCTACTTTTGAAAACAGTACAGAAGTTCCCCCCCCAAAATTAAAAACAGTCTACTAAACTCCGCATCTGAGTATTTACCCAAAAGAATTTAAATCAAGATCTTGAAGAGAGAAACATAGACCCAGGCCCTTCTTAAACAGGTTTAAAGTTTAAGGTTTAAAGTTAAGGTTAAACCTTAAACAGGTTACATCTTAGTGTACTTCCACATTCATTGCAACATTGCTCACAATAGCCAAATATGAAACAACCTAAATGTCAATCAACAGATGAATGGATAAAGAAAATGTGGTATATATATAGAATATATTATTATTTAGCCTTAAAAAGGAGAAATCCTGCCATATGAGGCAACATGGATGAATCTAAAAGACATATGCCAAGAGAAATTAGCCAGATGCAGAAGGACAAATACCTCATGAATGTCCTTATGAGGGATTCCTCAAGTTCATAGAAGTAAAAAGAGAATTGTGGTTGCTGGGGCTGGAGGGAGAGGAAAACAGTTTCTAACCAACAGGTTACATAAGATACATAAGCTATAGATCTGCTGTACAGCACCTTGCCTATATACAATACTGTATTATACCTCAAAATCTGCTAGGAGCATAAACTTCACATTACATGTTCTTACCACAATAAAACATTTTTTAAAAGAAAAGAAATGTGAGCCCTAAAAGGTAAAAAAATGCATAGCAAATAACATCACAATAACTAATCAATGAAGTCAAATATGTCAAAGATATAATAGACAATGATATTGTGTAGAGTAAAGCCTGTCTAGTTAAGGTCCTGGCCCTAACCGCCTTTCTTCGAGCTGACATCACTGTCAATTAGAAGGCTATAGTCTGATAGCACCTTCAGTGTCCACACCTCACTAGAAAGAAGGGTACCTCCTACCTTCTGAGGGAGGATGTCATGCCTGTGCTCTTTACCCTGGAGAATGCTGAGCAGCAATGTTTTAAACTTGATTGGGCTATAATGGTACAGAAAATAAATCAGTGACCTAACCGGGAGATTTAAAGAGGTCAGAACATCTTGGGGTTGAGCCCTGCTCCAGATCTCTTTCCCAGCAACCCAGAGAAACAACATGAGCCCAGTTGGTCCACCTTAGCACACTGAGACTGAACCATAGAGTCATCTGATGATTATTCCAAAACTGGTATCTTCCACGCATGCCAGAAGGAAGAGTAATGCTCTTGGGATGGGTGAGGCGTTTTTGCGACATTCTTTTTATTTCTTTTTTTAATTTAATCTTTATTATATTTTTCCGTTACCATTTAGCCTCCTATATGCCCTCCCCTCACCGACCACCACACTGTTGACCGTGTCCATGAGTTCTTTCTCCTTTGTGCTCTATCCCTGTACTCCCTAACCCACCACCCCAGAGCTGTCAGCCTGCTCCATGAGCCTCTCTTTCGCTTGTTGGTTCATTTTGTTCATTAGATTCCATACATGAGTGAAATCATATGATATTTGTCTTTCTCTGACTGGCTTATTTCACTTAGCATAATGTTCTTTAGGTCCATCCAGGCTTTTTTTAAATTAAACGATACTCTCTAATAAGTTGGTCCTTCTCTGGGCCAAGGGTATTCACTGACAGGAATACCTTATTTCCCTGATTACAAGTGGAGAGAACTTGATTTGGGTACAATGTCTAGTCCTTGGCCCACTCCTTCCACCAACAGTGTGACTTTAAACTCTTGCTATGGGGGGTCCTATTCCTCCTCTGGACAATAAAGGGATTTGGTGGTATGGTTCTAAGGCACATACAGATTTTCCCTTGTTTTCCACATCTCTCTAAGGTTTAAACCTGTTTAAGAAGGGCCTGGGTCTATGTTTCCCTCTCTCCCCTACAATCTAACACAGCAGTCATCCTTCCTCAACTTCTACATCATCTCTGGTGAGGGTCACATTTCCATCCCAAACTCCAATATCCTGATGTGGTCCCATTTGCTGCAATGTAAATACTCAGCAGGTGATGGATATCAGGCAATCAACTAACATAATGTGAAATCTACCTTTTCCCAAGTGAAGTGAAGGTGGAATTCCAAGCCAATGTTCAAAGCCAACTAAGCTTCCAGGGGCATGATGTGAATGTTTTTGCTCGAAATGGGCCTGATCAGATTTTTTCTTACCATCCTCAGTGAAATCTAATGTGTTTGAAAGATTCTAATAGCCTACCCCAGAGACAAAATTAGCAGAAATGCAATAACAGGAATAATGGATAAAAATGCACCCACAGTAGCAGAAATGTAATTACCAAATATTTTTGTTGATCCAACTCCTGATTCAAAAATGTTGGGAGTGGGAATAGTTTATGCATCATTTCAAGACTAAATAAGCCATGAATCAAAGAAATCAGTAAGTCTGTATGCTAGAAGACCATGGAGCAATGCCTTCAATGTTTCAAGGGCACATATTTTTGAACCTACAATTTCTCAGGCAGCCAGTTAATCAAAAAACGAGTAAAAAATATATTTTCAGAAGTACAAAGATCCAGGTTTATCTTTCTGATGTAGCTTCTTGAGGTTTTACTCCAATAAAATAAAGCCAAAACCCCAAAAGGGAAAGACTTGAATTCAAAAA